TCATGTTCCACAGCCAAAACTGGTGTTTTGGTGTTTCCTTGACTGATGAAGCCTTCTGGATGGAAGGTGAAACTTTTCAGCACAAAAAAAGAAACTGTCCAGATGACCTGACTGAAAATTGTTGGAGCCGTTTGAAGTGTTCTAATTACCTTCTTTTAACCATTGATGTCGGTGTGTACTTTTACTACAAACCAACCGGCAGTCAGTGTGTACTTTTACTACAAACCAACCAGCAGTCAGTGTGTACTTTTACTACAAACCAACCAGCAGTCCGTGTGTACTTTTACTACAAACCAACCAGCAGTCAGTGTGTACTTTTACAACAAACCAACCAGCAGTCAGTGTGTACTTTTACTACAAACCAACCAGCAGTCCGTGTGTACTTTTACTACTAACCAACCAGCAGTCTGTGTGTACTTTTACTACTAACCAACCAGCAGTCTGTGTGTACTTTTACTACAAACCAACCAGCAGTCAGTGTGTACTTTTACAACAAACCAACCAGTAGTCCGTGTGTACTTTTACTAAAAACCAACCAGCAGTCCGTGTGTACTTTTACTACAAACCAACCAGCAGTCAGTGTGTACATTTACTAGTGGTGTAACAGTGCATGTGGGTGTATTGAACCGTTTCGTACGACAAGTTTGGTTCGGTCCACGTGCGTACCGTTGACGTTATTTTTCACTCATTAAGTTTTATTATCGAGAGATTACGCACCGCGGAACTAAAGTTCCCAAGCGTGTTTCAGCACGACGCTATTAACTGTTGCGTCGTCTTGCAGCACGAGACGAGTAGCAGCCTAGCAGGCTAACTATGACAACAAACAAGCCGGAGCTTGAAGACCCTCCCATCTCGCTTGTGGTCTCCTGTTTGGGAACGTTTTGGCTTTCTTGGTAAAACTCACGATGGGGAAGGAAAAAGTTGTAGCAGCACTTTCTGAAAGAGATAAACTGATATTATCAACAAGCTACCGAGTGTGTCCGCTGCGTCTCTCACCACAGATGGATCATGGTCAAGTAAGGGACGTCGGGGGGAGATGCTTGACAGAAGCGGAGTGTTTTTCTTTTCTTTTTCCATTTCTCCTTTACTGATCCAGGTCGACTCATTGAGCCACGAGAACTCATTTTCAAGAGAGACCTGTTTAGGAGCAGGTGGTGGGGGTTGAGGGCCTTGCTCAGGGGCCCAGAGTGGGGCGAATGAGGGTGGAGGCAGGTGTGGGTGCTTCACCTTTTCCACCCACATTTTGATGTTGACGGTACCGGGAGGTGAACCTGCAACTTTCCGATCACAAGCCCATCTTGTAACGTCTGCGCCACCACTCCCCCCTTTACATTTGCAGATAAACTTAGATGTTTAACAACCCGTTAAAATACATCAAAATGCTGGAGGAAACATACTTTATTTATTTATTATTTTGCGCATATACTTTATTCAAAATTTTCAGGGTCAACCTGTATAAAGGTTGAATGAATAAAAAATGGGGGAGGACCCCCAGACCCCCCCCCATACACGCGTCCCAGGCCTCTGGTAGAGGGCATGAGCTTTAGGTGAAGTTTAACCAACCATACAGAAAAGTAGGGCAAGCTGAGTGTTCATATGCAAATGTTTGTTAAAGGTGAACCGATTATTTTGGAACAATGTGTGTATGGAGAGTTTTAGATGTGTCTCTGGATTGAAGCGAGCTTACTTTGGTGTTCATGTTTTGAGAGAACTCCAGGATGGTGTCCACCCTGGTCCATGCATCTGGGTGTTCTTTCAAGTGTGTTAACACCTCCTGGGCCATTCTTTGCTGCAACATAAATGCAGAGGGCACTTTAAACGTAACAAAAGAGATCAAAACAATGCGATTTTATTGCTTTCCTGTACCAGTGGAGCATGAAGAGCCTTTCAGACACATTGTTGTGGGTTATATTTGTGTTAATGAGAGACGCCAACATACCTGAGGTCCCACTCCATGGTACAGACAGTTCACCACATTGTCCAGAAGGTTGATGTCTAGTTTCTGGTTGAAGTCCAGCAGCTGCTGTGCTGCATGATCTGCTAGCATTGTCATAACTGCTGGCATCTGCAGCAAGGACACCAGAGGGACGAACAACGAATGCACGGTTAACAAAGTCATGAGAAGTGTCTGGAAACTAGTCCAAACGACTGATCACATCACAAACATCAGACAGTGAACTGTAACGTTCTTGATGTCATTAAAAAAGAAAAACTATTAAACCTCTGGCAGATTTTAAGTATTTTATATTTAGAAACCCGCATCAAGCTGTCTAAGAAACTTAAGACTGGTCCTCTGGGCTTTCAAAAAAACTAAAAACAAAAGTAGAAACATTCTGTCTTTCATCCGAAAGACTTCTTCAGTCTTCAGCTTCAAGCTGCTTCTAGTTCTTAGACATCCAGGAGAAAAGTGCTAACCACAAACCAAACTGTAATAACGATCCAAACCAGGTCTAATGCCAAATCCTCAGCAGCCGACAGGCTGGTCAGTAAATGCACCATTTATTTTAAGTGGGGGTAAATATTGATCAGCAAATTGTTCAAACAGTCCATAAAGTCATGGACAGTTTTCATTTAACGTGAAGGAGACACGTGCTGGGTCCACTGAACCAGATCCAATCGTTTACATGTGCCACACCGTTAAAAGCAGCACTTTTTAATCCTAGTTTTACGAGTTGTTAGCTGCTGGGAGCTAATGTTAGCGCTCGGCTAGCTGTTAGCATGTAGCATCAGGTCAGAGACGGTGCTTCCGGTCCTCCACCCCCAGGACGGACTCATTCCTCCTCCTGAACTTAGTAGGACCGGAGGACAAGAGGACTGAAGTCACGGGGATGCTGCACTAAACCATTTCCAATCATATTTAAACGTTTGCTTTGGTTAAATGACACTTTTCCCTTAGCTTGGATGACGGCTAACAGCAGGTTGATGAAGGCAGTCTGGAGGTTTCACTTTCAACTGCGTTGAATTCTGTGCACGTAAAAAGAAACGTTCACGACGCAGGTCTGGAGTTCGGAGTTACCTACCTAAAGTCCAGGGCTCGGACTCGCAATAGTTGCGTGAAAAACAAAAGCTAAAAGAAGTCACAGTTGGACAGAAAATGTTTCCTATGACTGCTTCAGAATCAGCGATGCTGCTCTTAAGGAAAACCACGGAATCGACCCCTCCGCTCCATTTTACGAAACTCTGTAAACGTTGATTAATTAATTCGTTACTCCAGGATTTCCAGCGGGGCGCTGTGAAGGATGTATGCCCGAGCTTCTCCGCTTTCAAGCGACTAACGCTCAACCGGTTGAAACCGGTTCAGACTGGGAGATTCCATCTCGGTTTAGTTTTCAGCCGATGGCGCCGCGTAAAGTTTGGACTAAAGTCCCGCCCACACTCATCGCTGATTGGCTGGGCTTTCAGTAATTACTTCGTGCTTCGGGTCCCATTAGCGGATCGGCCTGTCAATCTATTTCAATTCGTTCACGCGCCCACGCGACTGTTCGCCAGAACAGAAAAAGAGGGCAGACTCCCGAGCAGAGTGGATTTCTTCATGATGGCGCTTCTCGAACTGAACGCGCGCTCTTTGTTTATTAGACTTTAGTCTTATCCTCACGGGTATAGATGGTATCACAAGGCCACGTGCGCAAAACAATCGGTTTAATAGTTTTAAGCACGAGTAATGTGCTACTTTTAACTGTCACATCCTGAGAGAGAGTGGCCGTGCTGATCTGATGAAGCGGCGGTGCCTTTGATGTGCCTGGAAGCTGGTAATTTTCCACCAGCCACGAGTGGGCGTGGCTACACGGCCATGAAGCGCGGGTTAGAGGAGCTTTAGGACATCAGTCAGAGTGAGACAGTGGAGGGACAGGACACTGAGGACATGACTGAGGACACATGGAGTGCCTTACGGGTTACCACCATGGACTCTGTGGGCAGCTGAGGAGCTAAACTTCTCCGCGGCTTCCTTCGTCCTCATGGTCACGTGGTGTGGAGGGTCTTAATGGAAAAATACTGGGATTTGGTGTGTAGCAGAAAGAGCCAGTAAAATAATTCAACAAATAAGGTGATCAGATTTATGACATTAAATCTAGGGACATTTCCAGCTCAGCCACAAAAGAATAAAATGTCAAGATGAAATGAAGAAACGGGACAGTTAGGCTTTCATTTATTTTTTACATATTTTCTTAACAATAAAAATCAAATGCAGCAGCGGGAATGTGCCTGTCCACACACATTTCCTAAGGGTTTTCTTTCGGCTGCTTCCTCCTTCAGGGGTCGCCACAGAACTCAGTCGCACAAAGACATGTCCTTCCTGACACGACCACTGAGCTACCACAGCCTCTGTGGAGCAGAGAGCTGGCATCTAGGGCACCCGGGGGAGCAGATAGTGGGGGTTAAGGGCCTTGCTCAAGGGCCCAGAGTGGGGCAGATGTAGGGTGGAGGCAGGTGTAGGTGCTTCACCTATCCCACCTACATTTTGATGTTGGTACCGGGAGATGAACCAGCAATCTTCCCGATCGCAGGCCCACTTTCTCTAACCTCTGCGCCACCACTCCCCCACATTTCCTAAGAGTAATAAAAGAAAGTAATAGTAGTTGCAATGGTGTCAGAAACATTTGTAATGTGAGTGGAAGGGGGTGGGGGTCTGGGGCAGTGATGTGCATAGCACAGAAACAGCACTAGTAAACGTCACTAATGATATTCTCATGGCCTCTGACAATGGACTTGTGTCTATACTGGTCCTGTTAGACCTCAGTGCTGCATTTGATACAGTTGATCACAATATTTTACTACAGAGACTTGAATATGATATTGGGATTACAGGAACAGCTCTAAAATGGTTTAAGTCATATCTATCTGATAGATCCCAGTTTGAAATGTAAATAATGAATCTTCTTCAAACACCAAAGTTAGTCATGGAGTTTCTCAGGGCTCAGTGCTTGGGCAAATCCTCTTTATATATGCTTCCATTAGGTAATGTTATTAAACAGCATGGGATAAATTTTCATTGTTATAGTGATTGTGTTTCTGCGATGGCGTTAAACCAGAGCTGTCATTTCTAACCTGAAACCCGGCCTGGACCGACCCGGATTAGGGCTGGGCCGTTATAATGTGATTAATGGGAAGCCGGGCTGGTCTCGGGCTTTTAATTAGGTCAGAATCAGCCACGATCCAATTATATGATATTATGGCCTTCCATACATCCACCAGCCGCATGCAGCTATTTCACCATGAGCTGACTGGCCTTGAAAGAGGTAAAAAGTTCAGTTAAGCTTCAGATGGGACTGTACTTCCAGGCAGCGATCCATCACCCAAATGGATGTTCATTCAGCCGCTGCACTCAGTGGACGTGCACGGCCATCCACCCAAACAGGTGAGATCCCAAAGCAGACGCATGAGTCAGAGCTGTCCGAGTGTCTCAGTAATTCAGAAGAATACAGTCAGAAACGGGGTTTAAATGCTTTTTTATGGCCATGAAAGGACAAACACCTCTCAGCTCCAAATCTTCTGCTGCATTTATTCAGCTGCGCATCCCCAACCGTTAATAAGTATGTCGGGGTTTTTTCTGGGTTCTGACCTGTAATTACTGTTAATTCGTCAGGCCGGGTGGAGTTCAGAAATTATGACTGCGGGCTGGGGCCGGGTTGGATCAGGTTTTTTGGGCCTGAATGCAACTCAAATTTAACTCGAAGCAGTCTGCTCCTCAGATAAATAATGTTAAAAGTTCCTGGAGAAACTTTGATGGGGACTGCCAAGCTGCTGACATTTTTAAAATGTGATTTGACTATATGTTTGGGATCGTTGTCAGCTACCACTATACCAAATTTCAGCTGAATAGCTCTAAAAATGGGAGAATTATCATCTTTTTTTCTTTTTAGCCAAGTCGCCATCTTGGATTTTTGATTTGCATTAGGAATATATAACAACTTGGTCTCAGCTACAACCTTACTAAATTTCATCCCAATATCTAAAAAAATAACTGATTTATAGTCAATTATGTGTTTGCTGAGGCTGCTGTGGCAGCCATCTTGAATCAAAATGGCTCCAAACGTTAATCAGTTTTAGAGATACATCTGATGATTACTTTCTGCGAGTTTCAAACAAATCCAACATTTTTCATTCAACCTTTATTTAGACGGTAAATCCCATTGAGCCTCGAGGACTCATTTACAAGAGAGACCTGATTTCAACAAAGAAAGATGACAACAGTGGACAACAGCAACAACAAGAAACAGTTATTAAAAAGTCATATAGATTTTAATTTTTTTTTTTTTTCAAATAAGATGGCTAATAAAAAGTAAAAAAAACCTGCTAGATTATAATGTGAATGTAGAAAACTAAAAACAGGAACATGTCTGCATTGGTCCCTGCCAGGAGTCCAACAGATTCTTAAAGCCACTTAGCGGGGTCAAAGGTCGAGAGCTTCAGATCTTGATCAAACATTGAGTTTCTGTTTCGTCTCTACACTCTTAGTCATGTGACTTGACAGCAGTTAGTGTGAAGAATGTTCTCTCATTCATTTCCTATGGGAAAACATGGCGTATTTGTTAGCAAAATAACGTCACCATTTCGTCTCCGATTTTCAATAAACGTAACAGCACACATCACTGGGCCGAACCGGTCGTTTTGATATAACTATTGCCAGGGTAGACATTGTGGTTCGGGCCGCATTAATGGAGATAGAAATGTAGACGCACTTCCGAGGTGTAGAATAATAGGTACCTGCGCATGGCAGGCACCTAATGTTTCTGTTAACTTATTATTTTATATATGTGTTTCTGTTCAGTGCCCTGAGAGGACTTCTCTTGTGACTAAGTGCTATAGAAACAAACTGAATTGAATTACATTTTGTTAAGTAAGAAAAGAGGAATCTAAGCTCACCTGTTTCCAGAGAAAATCGATAAAAAGAAACTCAAAAAGTGAGTCTGATTCAAAATTAAAACTATAAATTTATAATTTCTCACATTTCTTTATGCAGACACCATGGATACTTCACGTCGTATTTAAATGTAATAATTTATTGAAAAGTGTTCATCTTTTTTTATTTAGCGAACACATCTGGATCTTTATGCCGAGGAAAACTCAGAGAAAAGCGCTGAGTCTTGTTGATTGGGGAACAGCTATGTGCGGGAAAAGTTCTGGCCTGGTCCTACACGTATGTTCATGAAACCTTACACATGCACAGAAATACATGTAAAGTTCTCTGCATCCTGACATAGATCATTTTCTTCACTTATGATCTCAGGAGACTTGGAGAAAAAGAAGAGGAGGTTTCAGAACATCTTGGCAACAGGCAAAGAGTCCACACCTGAACCTCTAAAGACAACTGCAGGTCGTGGACCATAAGCATCGGAGGAGGTCGATCACCATCAGAATGGTGAGGCTGATGCCACAGAAACTGCGGAAAACCTCAGTTAACAAATAAATTGTAACCAGAGAAAATAGTTTTCAATTCATCCATCCATCCATTATCTTTTACCCGCTTCTTCCATTTTGGGTCACGGGGTCACCGGTGCCCATGTCCAGCAATCAATGTGTAAGGAGCTGGGGACATCCTGGACAGGTCTCCAGTCCATCACAAGGACACAGAGAAAACGAGACAAACAACCATTTGCTCTCTCTCTCTCACCTAGAGACAATTTAGAGTTACCAATCAGCCTAACATGCATGTTTTTGGTCTGTGGGAGCAGTGGCGGTTCCTTATATGGGCGACATAGGCGGCCACCCAGGGCGGCTTCCAGCAGAGAGTAGCATAACACAGCATAACCCCCCCCCCCCACGATCGCTGAAGATAAAAACTTGCTGAACACCTACCAAATGTGGTTAAAAGCAGCTAAAATTGTAACAACCATCCATAGCTGTGTATATGGAGGTTTTTGGGCTGGCAACTGTCAGTCAGATCTGGCAACCCTGGGTTGGTGGCGGTGTTAATCTATTCCGCTTAAATGCAAATTATGGAAGATGGAAAGGAAAAGGTCAAAGCCATCGGGTGTGCAGTTTAGGAAAAAGAGAAAAGAAGAAGAGGAGAAACAAGCAAAGATAAAGGTAAGAAGAGCTGAGTGTCACCGTCATTTCTTGTTCTGTGAAACGTGTAGGCTGTAGCTTGCTAACGCTTACTGGTTAGCTGCTTAGGACGACACATTTTGTTAACAGCGGAAAATATTACCGTCTTGAAGATTGACATTCTTCTTAAACTAAACAAACAACATGGAAAAGTAATAATGGGCCACTATAATTTCTAAAGGCAATGATTTTGTGATGTACTTTGGATGACTGGAACTGGAAGACTGACGGTCCATTGGA